CGTGCTTACTTGTTTTTTCTTGATTGAGTTTTTTTTTGGTTGTTTTGTTAGGTTGGTTTGTTTGTGTAGTGGGGGTCGGTTGTGTGGCGTGGTGTTTGAGTTCGTCCTTTGTGCCACCACCACCCCCCGTTTTTTATGGTTACGTCACTCTTTGATATATGTGTGTCTGCTTGTTTTTCTGTTAATCGTAGACATTAAAAGCACATGTACATACTTTCATTTCATCTCTATATAACCCGGCCAACAGGAAAGAAGGAAAAATATATTTGTATTTGCACTACAAGGGCGAAAGGAAAGGAGAAAAATGCATCGTCACCAGTGATGGCATACAGTATAAAAGTCGGTAACGATACGGTTCTAAGTTATACAGAACGACGTGAAATAGTGTAGAAATTCAGTATGTCAACTACTATCCCTGCTAAAGCATACGCTGTTGATAGTGCAACATCACCGTTTAAATTATTCAATTTTGAACGACGTGCACCACGAGATGATGATGTAGTGATTCGTATTCATTATTGTGGTATTTGTCATACGGATATTCATCAAGTTGAAAATGAATGGAAAAGTTCAAAGTATCCATTAGTTCCTGGTCATGAAATCACCGGTGTTGTTGAACAAGTTGGTTCGAAAGTGAAGCATTTCAGTGTAGGAGACCACGCAGGAATTGGATGTATGGTGGATTCATGTCGTCAATGCAAACCTTGTATGTGATTTAGTTTGATTTTATCGATTTTTGATTGAAATATTTGTTTAGGTAAGAAAGACATGGAACAAAACTGTGCAGATACATGTTTAACATATTCAAGTACTGAACTTGATAAAATAACGCCAACATATGGAGGTTATTCGAACGTCATTGTTGTTCGAGAACATTTTGTTTGTAAAATTCCGAAGAATTTACCATTGGATGCAGCAGCACCATTACTCTGCGCTGGTGTTACAACTTATTCGCCAATGCGTCGTTTCAATGTTGGAAAAGATACAAAATTAGGGTTAGTTGCTCGCATTCGAAACTCTTTTCATCACTTTTTTTTAATCTTTAGAGTCGTCGGTCTCGGTGGATTGGGTCATGTGGCTATCAAATTAGGTGCAGCAATGGGCGCACATGTCACCGTTATTTCTACCTCGGAATCGAAACGCAATGATGCAATCAAACTTGGTGCAAAAGCTTTTGTTGTTTCAAAAGATAGTGAACAAATGAAAGCAATTGAAAATTCGTTGGATATTATCATTGATACTGTGTCAGCAACACATGATGTCAATACTTTAATTAAATTATTGACAGTAGAAGGAGTTTTTTGTTTGTACGTAGAAATTCTTTTTGTTTTTCTGTTGATGTGAAATTAGTTTGATTTGTTTTCGTTTAGAGTTGGAGCACCAACGAAACCGTTGGAAATTAATGCGTTTTCTCTCATTCGAAAACAACCAGTTGTGACTGGAAGTTGCATTGGAGGAATGAAAGAAACTCAAGAAATGTTGGATTTTTGCAGCAAACACAATATCACCTGTGATATTGAAAAGATCGAAGCAACACCTGAAACAATCAAAACTGCTTATGATCGAACAGTCAAAGCCGATGTCAAATATCGTTTCGTTCTCAATATGTTAGACGCATTTAAATAAATTATCTTTTTAAGTTGATTTTATTACAGTTGAAAAGAAAATCACAGAAGCAAAATACGTTTATTTTTCTGCTTTCGATTAGTTTCAAATAAAAAACAAAAACGATCTGAATAAAACTGCTCTCTGATGATATTTCATGTAGAACGATACAAAGACAATGGAAGTGTTTAATGACGATAGAAGTCTTTTGAGAATTTCTGATCATCTAATTTGAAGTAAATACTTAGATTTAGTTCTCAAAGATATTCTTCTGTGTCATAGACAAACCCAAAGCAAAGGGATGAGAGTTCACAGATAATTTAGACTGTTTGGTGCATCAATAATTCAATTCTTAACATGAAATCACACACTGCAACACAAACGACATACCTTATAATGTGGCTCTATATTTACTGGAATGATGAAGATCGTTTTTATCATACAAATGTTCGTTGTATCGGTAATTGATTCAATTCCTCGATAAGTTGAATTGATCATGTTGAGCATATAAGAAATTCCTCTTTTTTTCGAATGTGTTTGTATAATTCTTTTGAGAAATAGACAAATGTGATACTCAAACAAAGACATAAGAATTGCGAGCAAATCTCGCACATTGTTTTTCAAACTGAGAAATCGTTCAATTTCCGACTAGAAGTTTCAATGCACCGATAACTTCGTAAGAACTAAATATGTTACAAATTTGATTTCTTTGAAACGACCGCGTATTCTTATCTTAAATTATCTGAATAGATATTTCTTTGTTTTAAATTGATGCTCATAGGTGTCTTTGTGATTGACAATATGTCATGTAATAGAAATAATAATTAAGTGCCATAAAGACTTCGAGATGATTTATTTGACGTTTAAACATGTAACTAAATATGAATTGGTCGAACTAAAACATCTGAGAGATGGTGTGATGTGATATTACTAAATTCACATTCATAGATAATAGCAAGGATAAGAAAAGCGTACTTTTAAAGATTGGGTTTGATGAGAAAAGAAGAGGTTGTAGGCGTTTGTCGATATTCTAAAATATTTAAGAAGACATCAGTGTGTTGATGAATTGCTACATGCTCCAAAAACAGAGAAGTGTATTCCACTATAAATAGTCATTTGTTAAGAAACGTATAACAAAGATATTCTGTCTAATTTACCAGAAATTCGATCGATGAGAAAGATATATGCGGTTTTTGTCTTGTCTCCTACGTCACTTGAATTCTTCACATAGTATTTATTTGAGCCTACGCATATGGTCTTCAAATGTAGAAAAAAAAACCATTTAAGTTCAATTATTCACGTACTATCTACGTAGTTTTGGTACTTTGAAGTAAGATAGAATAAATGAATCTCGCAAATGATTAAACTTCCTAAATCTTCAATACAGTTTCAAGACAATAGGGACAACATTCGAGTTACTGGATTTGATTATTTGGAACAACTGAATTGGTACGCCGTTGTCTTAGTAAACGTTGCTTTACATGTCGACGGAAAACTCTTGATGAGAACAAGAATATGTAGAAACTTGACTAAGAACAAAAAGTCAAAAAAGAAAATTCATTGTAATTAAAACAATCACGATAAACATACTGAGTAATAAAATCCTTGTTCAGTACTGATCATCGCATAAGCAAGATATTCTTTCGTTATTCGATCTTGATCTTTGATAATTTCAGATGTAAATAGACTGTATAGATAATAAACTCCTAGTGGACCCGTACAGCACACAAGAAGAATTATTTGTAAAACTGTCATCTTCAAGAGTTGTCTATCAGCGCATCGCTCAGAAAGATTGATGGTTCGACGAATATTTCGATAAGTTAAACTTCCAAATATGAGTAAGATCGATGCTGGAATTCCACAGAGAATGATAAGAAAATATATTGGAACATAAGCAGCTAGACCGGGATTGACGGGAACACATGTTTTTGTTATTGGTGATATTTCAATATATAAATAGAATGGAATCGCATGAAGACAACAGATAACTGTAATAATAAAAGAAACGCGATGAGAGATTTTAATTTGACTCAATCGACGAACTGATGCATTGGATGATGTGATTAAATATTGATCAATCATACATAAACTAGCCAGAGTAATTGCTATCGTAGCTGAAACTATCAGGGTTCCTTGTCGTAGTTTACACCAAAATGATGATGTGTTAGTAAAATCATATCCAATGACTAAAACGACGACGCGAGGCAAAAGGTTGATGATGAGGAAAAGAATTTTAAAAATTGATTCGATGAGAAAATAAAATGTTGCCGGTGTTCGTCGATATGTTGGAACACTTGAGAATATGTAGATACTCATTGTATTACCGAACATCCCAAAAACAAGAAAGAAAATGCCACTGTAAGCCATGATCTGTTGAACAATGTATACCAGCGACATTTGATTCAGATGCGAGTTTTCCACGAATGTTATCTTTTCTATTGTTATGCTGACGAATACACTTTGAGAAAGCTACTGGACAAAATATGGTAGAAGTCTTCCCAGTAATGTCTATATATACAATATCTGATCAAACCCAATAAGGAAAATATATTTGAAAATAGTGCGTCAACTTTTTCTTAGAAGGGAACGTTCAATACTGAACTGAATAAACAGAGAAACTCATTAGTCGGATCTGCTTTTTGAAATAATCAGAAAGGTGAATTAAGAAAATATTTCATGCGTTGACAATCTTTTCACTTTTTATTCTATTTTGTCGCATCATTGTCTTAGCTTGTATCTAAATGGGATATGCAATTAAAACCTTTTATCAAATAATTTTTTAAATATACGGATCACCCATCTTCCAACGGATGAAACACAATTATACAAAGATCAACGATTCGAACACATTTTGTTAATCCATTTGTTTTGTTGTTTCCTACTTCTCGTTAATGAAAATTATGCACTTTGTCTCAGTACAAACAAAGATGCATAGCTTTTCAAAACCACACGGTGTAAGAATGAGAAGACATGATACTTTATTGTCGAAGGGGCCTTGAAGAAGAATAATGGAATAAGCTTCATCAATAGAAAACATTCTTTTCCCAAAAAGATAAGAAGATGTTGCTCATTGATTCGTCAATGTTTAACATAAATCAAAGAATATTTCATTGCGATAACATTTTCATGTAAATTGACAACTACAAAGAAATTTTTTATAAAATATCTTTTCTACCTGATAACTTAGATGTGAACAGATTTTAACTGCTCAATTGTGTGTTCATGGTCAACAGATACTGTGATATTATGGAATAATGTAGAAAAGTCTATTGATTTTTCTGTTTGCCGAAACTTGATCGGTTTCTCATACAACACATATCGAAATCAAAGGTCAAATTAAAATAGTTATGAATTTAAAAGACTGACCAATCAGAAATCGAGATCCATGAAATGAACAAGATGACGATGAAAATAACATGACATGACATACTTATTATAAGAAATCCTTATGAAGATATTTGCATAAAAAGAAAAATTAATTGAGTGTTGAGCAAGTTGCATCGAAGAGCGTTATTTACTCATTGGAATTGGAACAACAGAGACGAAAAAGCGACAGAAAGTCATGACAATTTTGACAGTTTCTGCGATTCAATGATATCTGCGAGGTAATTGTTGTTGAACGCTGTTATTTGGACATTTCTGTTTTGGAATATCTGTAAAATAAGATTTTATATTAAAATCATTGAAAAACTTTATTTTTGGTGTAAGAACATAACTGATAATTATAAAAGGTATGATTAAAAGAGTTTAGTCATTTGGTTTGAGTATTTGGAAGGATTACATTTGTCTGTCGTTTTCCAAATAATCGTTCTTTGACGTTTCGACGGAAACGACTCGATGAGAATAAGAAAACATAGAAACTCGACTAAAACAAATAAAAATAAAACGAATTATAAACAAGAAAAACTCGATAGACATACTGCAAAATAAAGTGTTATCTCCGTACTGATGATAACATAAGCAAAATATTCTTTCATTAGTCGATCTTGGTCTTTAATCATTCCAGATGTTATCATATTGTATATATATAGAGAACCTAATGGAGCAGTATCGATGAATGCCAACATGACTTGTAAAAACGTCATTTTGATCAATTGTCGATCTGCATGTTGTTCTACGAGTGCAATTGTTTGACGTATATTTCGATAAGTGAGATATCCAAATAGACTCATAATTGATATCGGAATGATACAAGCAATAACAATAAAGTATATTGGCATATAATTGGATAGAGTTGAATTCAAACTAATGCACGTTTTTGTTATTGATGATATGTCAAAATATACGAAAAAAGAAACTGCATGAAGACTGCAGATGATTACAATAATCAGAAGAATTCGATGAGAAACTTGGATTCGACTCATTCGACGAACCGATGGATTTGATGATGTGACTAAATATTGATCAATGATACTTAACGTGGTTAAACTAAGCGTTGTTGCACCGGACATCATGAGAATTGCTTGTCGAAATTTACACCACAATGATGAAACATTAGTAAAATCGTATCCATAACTAAAAGTGATGATACGAGGCACTAAATTAGTGAGTAGATATATATTTTTGAAGATCGATTCCGAAAGAAAATAAAATGTCGTAGGTGTTCGACGATACGCTGAAACGCTTGAGAAGACGTAAATGTTGATTGTATTTCCAGTTACTCCGAAAATGAGATAGACTATTCCGCTGTAAAGACTGATTTGTTGAGAAACGTACGTCAAAGACATTGCGTTTAGTCTGAATAAAGAATTGTGACAATGGAATTTGGTGTTAGCAGTTTGTGTTTATAAATAAATATAAGAGAAAAATGCAACTAAATAGACTTATGATTATGATGAAATCTTCTTTTAGCCTATTACTCGAGTTTTTAATAAAAACAGTGTCAAAACCGTCTTCTTTTTCATAGAGCTTTAAAAATTTTTAATCATGCAAACGTCTGTTGCGGACAGAAGTTATGTACTGTCTTCCTTGGCTGGAACCTTTTTCACATTGACAAACTGAAGTGCGTAATAATTCCAAAATATGAATTCGTGCTGATTTTGGAGGAATAAAAAGACAGTTTTCATTAATTTTACACTGCAAGATGAGTACTCATTGATTTATAAGTTTAGAAAACACGATGAATTTCTGTTCAGAAAATGTTCAGTTCTATGTTTCCAATTGTCATGAAATTCTGACGCAGCTATTGCAACTTTTCTAATCTATCACTTAGAGAATGCTTCTCCGTGTCATATTTCCATCCATGCTTTACTTTTTATATTTTCAATAACAATTTTTAGTCTATTCAATTAATTTTGTCAAAATAGCATGTTCGAAAATTACGAGGACATAATTATGATACGCATTTCAAACATTCTCACCCACACCCTAATGCGAACGTAAGTGCTTCAGAAAGGAGAAAACGTATGCCAAGGACATTGTGCTTAGTTTAGAAATGAAAAGAATAGAAGATGTCACACCTTCTTATCTCGTATTTAGTTTAGCGATTTAAAGAATGAAGTACGCTTCTCACAAATTTTCATAATATCTACATCAGTTTGAAAAACTTCATGTGCAGTTTGAATAGTTCAATAGAATGGAGATAATATTCAAGTTATTGGATCTGATTATTTGGAACAACTGAATTGGTACGCCGTTGTCTTAGTAAACGTTGCTTTACATGTCGACGGAAAACTTTTGATGAGAACAAGAATATGTAGAAACTTGACTAAGAATAAAAAGTCAAAAAAGAAAATTCATTGTAATTAAAACAATCTCGATAAACATACTGAGTAATAAAATCCTTGTTCAGTACTGATCATCGCATAAGCAAGATATTCCTTCGTTATTCGATCTTGATCTTTGATAATTCCAGATACAATTAGACTGTACAGCCAATAAACTCCTAGTGGACCCGTAGAGCACACAAGAAGAATTATTTGTAAAACTGTCATCTTCAAGAGTTGTCTATCAGCGCGTCGCTCAGAAAGATTGATGGTTCGACGAATATTTCGATAAGTTAAACTTCCAAATATGAGTAAGATCGATGCTGGAATTCCACAGTGAATGATAAGAAAATATATTGGGACATAAGCGGCAAGACCGGGATTCATAGGAACACATGTTTTTGTTATTGGTGATATTTCCGCATATAAATAGAATGGAATCGCATGAAGACACCAGATAATGGTAACGATAAAAGAAATGCGATGAGAGAATTTGATTTGACTCAATCGACGAACTGATGCATTGGATGATGTGATTAAATATTGATCAATCATACATAAACTAGCCAAAGTAATTGCCGATGTCGATGCGACCGTTAAAATTACTTGTCGCGACTTACACCACAATGATGAGACGTTGGCGAAATCGTATCCAAGATTGAAAGCAATGATGCGAGGTATAAGATTAATAAACAAATAAATATTCTGGAAAGCGGATTCCATTAGAAAATAGAATGTTGCCGGAGTTCGTCGATATGTTGGGACACTTGAGAACATGTAGATACTCATTGTGTTACCGAATATTCCAAAAAGAAGAAGGAAAACACTACTGTAAACCATAATCTGTTGGGATGTGTATACCAGAGACATTGCCTTCGCTTTAGGGAAAAACTTTTGAAAGAAGCAATACGTTGTATATCCATTTGGTTCTATCCATTTGGTTACGTGATATTTACAGTTGAATGCTTTGAAATGAATTTGTGAACAAATGCATTCCCAAGAAAGTTGTCTGGAAAATCTAAGTGAAAGCTTTTTCAACATTACTTTTAATCTGGGACGAACATCGATGAATTTCTTCCGATTGATGTTTCGCTGCACCATCAACAAATTATTGGCTGAAGTATCATTTATCGATTTATTCAGATATTTTCCGTCTCCTTAAGTATTTCCTACAAATTTTACCGATCGAATTTTCAGGTCTTTACAATAGATAGATCCTGATATCCTGATGTTGAGAATGACTACGTATCGTAACAATGAAGCAAACGTTAAGTGCCACGAAAATAGTTCTTTTGTTTTTATCTCATTTCTTTGTAGAGATACTTTCCACCTTAATGAATATACGGTAAAAGCTTTTACCATGTTCTTTTTCATTAAAAGAAAGTGCTGCTCAGGATCATTTGAATAGGAACAGATTAAAAGACGTGCTTATCACAAATACGCACACAGGTATTCAAACAAGTTCAAAATATCGTGAAATTATGAACATGAACAGTTCAGGTACAAGAAAACCAGATGAACATATACGTCAAAACAAATGCTTTCAAATCAAACTGTAACTGACGAATTTGATGTCACATTTGTAGAACAAATTCAGTTGATAGTATTATCAATTTAACACTGATATGTAGCTCTCATTCGTTTTTATATCATAAAGAATATCGAAAATGTCAAGCAAAACTTGGTAAAACTCTTTATTTTCAAAGAATGATGAATTGGTTTGGCATTTCGAAAACGATGGACGAGAGGGTACGTACACTTGTGACGTCAATTTGTATCTTGCTGGTAGACGCTTAACCTTGATACAACCACGTTTGTTGCCTTAGGTGTTACAACATTTGACTTGTTGACGAAAAGTACTGAACATGATGAGAAACATAGAGAAGGAACTCTTGAAAGAAAAAGAATAAACAAAGTGATAGGACGTCAATTGAAACACATTGTAAATACAGGCAAATATTATATAAAGAATTTTGTAAACGGAATAGCCAATTGCCTTTTGTTCTGTTGTCTTAATCCGTTGAGTTCTCTGTCGGTGAATATCTAGTATAAATAAGATTAAGTAGAGTAGGTCTATCGATCATTAATATATTGTAGTCTGTGTGTGTTTTTTCAAGCTCACAAACTCCGATAGGTAAGTATACCGATTATTGTACAAATAATAGTTGTTGACATAGTTCACATACTTTTGTCAAATGTTATTAGAATTGGTCAATTGTTCAAACTAAATATTAAAGAAAAACGAATCGGTAAAGTTTGTCTTAGAATATAAAAGAGAATATTTTCTGTAGCTTCACTAACAGTACACTGATGCACGTTAAAACCCTTGAATGTTTGATGCTTCTACTTTCTAAATTCGTCTATTTGTTGATTCGAGCATAAATATCATATTATGACATCTGAAAAGATAAGAATATCCAAAGAAAAAGCATCCGATTACACGTTCCAGCGTCAAATTACATACAAGTTTAGAGCAGTTAGAAGCTAAATATCATCCTCATTCATTCGGTTATTTTCGGTTCATTGAATCGTGCATCTCCTGTCGTAAGGAATGGAGTGAAAACATGTTTCGCGTTTTTTTTATAGTTCGTTGTAAATTTGACATTAACAGGAGCACTTGATGACAATTAAGTTCCATTTATAATGGAAAGCTCACTCATTGATACGAAACGATAATTTGTATTATACTATCATCAACTGACATAAACATACAAAATAAAGGAAGTTTTATTTCTTATATGGATATAAAGACTAGATGTAAACGAGGATGCTCACAATTTGTTTCTTTCGACAGCTTATTGAAGTTGTATATGTAAAAGAACGATTGGGACATTCAATGGACGTTTTGAGACGCTGAGCAAGTGAAATTGAGTTATAATGACTTTCCATTTGGCATCAAAGCGTTGCAGATATTTTCTAATGTATAATAACCAATGGGGATATAGCTCAGTGGTAGAGCATTCGACTGCAGATCGAGAGGTCCCTGGTTCGATCCCGGGTGTTCCCTAATTTCTTTTTCTTCTTAATTCTAACCAAAGTCAATGAGAAAATATCAACTTCAGTTGAAATCATTTTAGATTATTCACGTTTTTACATGATGAGTTTAAGATACAATAGTTGTCCAAGCCTTTATTACATATATGATTACTCATTGATTTCATCATTTCTCTTTACGTCGGATTCGAAAGGAAAGATATTATATTGCTTAATGAGGATAATAAATATTTCTTCGCACAACAAACTTTAGCGAAAATTTCGTCGGCAAAATTGAAATGGAGACGTGATGACAAGGCAGAGAAATGATACTTATTAAATAAATAATATTCTCATTGATTGTCATCGATTCAATCAGACAAACGAAAATGAAAGTTAATTGCATAAATATAAAATCGAGAAAAGAAATGTGCTCGCGTGCATTTTTCTTTAATAGTCGAACGAATCACCTATTCAATACTTATAAACAAACAGACATCGATAATTATCTTTAACAAAATCAAAATATTCACCTTGTTTTCGTCTATATCGAACGGGCGAAGAAACGATAAATGGGAAATACATTCAACGTTTTGTTTTTCATATTTAGATTCCAAATACGTTCGACCACATAAACGAAACAAAATTATCATGAAATTAAGAATTGAAATGTTTGTTGGTTCGTTAAATTTCACTAATAAATCGATTTGTTTGTTTTAGTCAACGTTTTTACTATTCAATACCCGTCCGGGTTGTAAATTGCTTTATCATCGGTGTAATAACATGTCTTTTGATCTCCATTGGAATTGTTATTGTTTGTCTAACTGCCGCCAAACCAAAAGGTACTTTTTTCTTTTGTAATCCAATCAAATGAAAGTGTTTATTATTTAGTACAACAATGTGGAATGAATTTTGTCCGAATATCCAAAGATCCGATTGAATATAATTACGGTCCAAATTCAATTGCTATTGGTGATTTTAACAACGATACGTGGATTGATTTGGTTGTTGCAAATTCTTTTGTAAATTCGATAAGTCTTTATTTTGGAAATGTTAATGGGACGTTTTCGAAAGAAAAAGAATATTCAACTGGTGTCAATTCGAATCCAATGATGGTTGCGGTCAATGATTTGAATAATGATGAGAATTTGGATATCGTAGTTGCAAATTATGAAACTCATTCCATTGGAATATTTTATGGATTTGGTAATGGATCTTTTCAGAATCAAACGGAAATTTCCACAGGAATTTCACGTCCAAGATTTGTTAATTTAATTGATTTTAATAAAGATTCATTTGTGGATATAATTGTAATTAATTATGGAACAGATTCCATTTCGATCTTCTACGGAAATGGAAATAATGGATTTGAAAAATTATTTTCTTATTCAGCCGGTTATGACTCATATCCTTATTCGTTAGCAATAGGTGATTTAAATCATGATCAATATTTCGATATTGTCATTGTGAATTATGGAACAAATAATCTTCATATGTTGTTTTTCAATAAAAGTAACACAGTTGGTCATCGAATGATCATTTCAACTGGTATCAATTCTCGTCCAACGTCAGTTGTGTTGGCTGATTTCAATTCAGATCAATTTGTTGATATTGCTTTCACAAATTTTGGTACAAACGAGACCAGAATTCGATTTAATGATGTCAATCAAACATTTACGAAAGAAGCTTTCTACCAATCGTATTCTACCTCTCCTTATTCAATTGGCATTGGCGATTTTAATGGAGATAATCATATAGATTTATTTATCATTAGTATAGGAACATATAATACTGAAGTACATTTGGGTAATGGATATGGAGGTTTTGACAGTACAGGTGCAAGATCAACAGGATCATCTTCGTCAATATCATTTGCTCTGTGTGATTATAACAAAGATAATCGATTAGATGCAATTACTGTCAATAATGATACTGGAAGTATTAGTATTCTCAATGGATATTTTCAAGGTTTCACCGAACCTCTATGGTCCTATGTTCCGTATAAAACAATGTTTGTAGTTGTTAGCGATATGAATAATGATAGAGTATTGGATATGATACTTGTTGGTAGTAATGATAATTCCATAATGGTTTCTCTTGGAGCTGACAATGGATCATTTCCAAGTGGAAAATGGTACCCTACTGATCTCTTTCCAACGTCTTTAGCTGTTGCTGATTTGAATAATGATACAAATATGGATGTAGTTGTGACTAATAGTAATAGTAATAATATTTATGTATTTCTCGGTAATGGTAATGGTACGCTTCAAAATCCACAGATATTCTCAACAGGCTCAGCGCCAATGTCTGTTGCTGTTGATGATTTGAACAATGATAACCGATTAGATATTGTTGTTACCAATTCTAAGAATAACACTGTGAGTATTTTACTGGGATTTGGTAATGGTAGTTTTCAAGCTGAAATGAAGCATTCAATTAATAATGCACCACGATCTGTAGCTATTAATGACTTCAATAATGATAATCTACTTGACCTTGTTGTCACTAATTTATATAACAAGAGTATCAGCATTCTATTGGGTTTTGGAAATGGAAGTTTCGCAAGCGAAATAAGATATTCGACTGGTACACAGCCATATTTTATAGCTGTTGCTGATTTGAATAGTGATACATATATGGATGTTGTCGTTTCGAATTATGTTAGTCAAACGATAAGTGTTCTGTTAGGGCAAGGTGATGGTTCTTTTGCATCACAAGTTACGCACGGAACAGGCACTGGACCAGCATTTGTAGCAATTGATGATATGAATAACGATACACGATTAGATCTTGTTATTGCTTGTGTTGATACAACTTCTGTCTATGTTTTATTTGGACATGGCGATGGGTCATTTGACACTTCCGTGCCGTATTTAACTAATTCAAACTCTTTCTCTGTTGCAATCGCGGATTTGAACAACGATACACGATTAGATATAGTTGTAACAGATAAAAATACACTTAATGTAAGTGTCTTGCTTCAATCTAATACTGGTGCACTGTCAACTCAATTAACATTGGCATCTGGTGGTGCATCGAAGTTGCGATCGATAATTGTTAGTGATATCGACAATGATACGTACCTAGATATTGTTGTTGCTAATTATGGTACAAATGATATTGGAATTCTTTTTGGAAAGGAAAATGTCACGTTTGAAGATCAAATATTCATTGATATGCAGTCAAATTCTCAACCATCGTCCATTGTTATGGGTTATTTCAATGGCGATGATCAATTAGATATAGCTGTAAGTTTGTTTAATACTGGACAAATAGGACTGTTAATTGAAGATGACCGAGGATCTTTTATTCTTCAACGAAGTGATTCCAATACTTTTACACCATATCCAACCTTTCTTTCTGCAGGCGATTTCAACAATGACAAACGATCCGAAGTAGTTGTTGCACATAATAGTAGTTATATTGACATATTTAATATATATAATACGGGATCTTTTAAAGACCAAATACAATATTCAACTGGTGTACGTCCACGACATTTAGTTTTGGGCTATGTTAATAACGATAGTTATGTTGACATTGTTGCTGTTAATTATGATTCCGAAACTCTAGGGATTTTTCTTGGACATGGCAATGGCAGTTTTGCAGATCAATTATCATATTCAGTCGGTTACAGTCCAGAATCTGTAGCCGTTGGTGATTTCGATAATGATAAACGATTAGATGTAGTTATTGCTCATGATAACATTAATTCTATTTCTGTGTTACTTGGCTATGGTAATGGTACGTTCAAAAGTCTAACGAGATATTCAGTCGGTTCTATTTCGGCGTGGTCTGTAGCGGTCGGTGACTTTGATGACGATCAAAATCTCGACATAATTGCTATTACTACCGGTTATGTATTCAGTCTGTTCCGAGGCTATGGCAATGGGACGTTCACACTGGAAATCAATTATAAAGATGACTCTGATAGACGACACGTTGTTGTAGCTGATCTTAATAATGATACTTATTTGGACTTAGCTATTGCTAATTATGGTTCTAGTAATGTCGGCATTTTCTTGGGATTTGGTAATGGTACATTTGCTAAAGAAATGACATTTCCAGTGGATACGTACCCAATGTATTTAGCTATCGAAGATCTTAATAACGATACTCGATTAGACATTGCTGCAGCTACTTTAGCTCACGGTACTGTAAGTATCCTTCTCGGATACGGTAATGGGTCTTTTCAGGGTAAAGAAACACAATCAGTAGGCATTATCGACGTATGTGTAGCAATTGATGATTTTAATAATGATGATTATCCAGATATCATTGTCGCCAATCTTGGTAATAATTCTGTCAGTGTTTTGTTAGGCGATGGAAATGGAGGATTTGAATCTCAAATAATCTATTATACTGGATCTGGTCCACATTCTTTAGCAGTGAGTGATCTAAATGATGACGCTATACTTGACATTGTTATAGCAAATTCTGGAGATAGCACTATAACTGTTATGTTTGGTTGTCTAAATTTGGTCTTTCGACAAAAAACAACATTATATTTTAATGAAGGATCGCAAATTCCATCGTTTACTATCAATGATTTTAATAATGATACTTATTTAGATATTATTGTTGTTGATTCAGTCAATAATAACATTGGGATTTTTCTTGGTTATGGAAATTTTTCATTTACATATCAAATAATATACTCAACCGGTTCGGGATCATCCCCATATTCTATCGCAGCTGGTGATTTCAATCATGACAATCAATTGGATCTTGTTATTGCTAACTTTGGCTCTGATACCATAGGAATATTTCTGGCGAATGGAAATGGTTCATTCGTTAATCAAACAGTCAAATCAACAGGTTCTTTATCATCTCCGTATTCTGTCAATGTTGGTTATGTTAATAACGACACCAATCTAGATATTATAGTTGTCAATTATAATAATAATAAATATGGAGTTTTCTTAAGTCATGGTGATGGAACATTTGATGAGATGATCTTCTATGCATTACCATATGGATCTCATCCATTTTCGATTATTCCTGCTGATTTTAATAAAGATGGAAAGACTGATTTTGCTATTGCAAATGGAGGTACTGACAGTTCGAGTATTCATTTACAAACTTGTTAATGAATTCGTGAATATTTTATACTATTGGCAGTTACTCATTTTTATGTTGAAATGAATCAACGAGCTCGGCTCTACTAAGAATAAACTTGATATTCTTATCATTTTCCGAGCTCTCAGTGTAATCTACGATAATTAACACTTTGCAATTCTTTAATAAAGTTGTTGTGTAATGTCATCGAGAGTTATTCATTATAATAATAACATTTTATACCTTACCAATCGGATTTAGATGATTCTTGTGTCAGTTCACAATCAGATTTAATTTTCAAAATAGATGTGAACTGTGATCGAGAAAACCTAAAAGACTCACAAAATATCAACTTAGAATGTTGAAGTATTGTTGAGAATAACAAATACAAGATACTCTTTTAGCAATCTGTCATAACTACCTAATCTAGTCGAACAGAGTAGAAGAAGATTTGTTTGTAGATGTGATATGTCAAAATACAGATAAATGGTACGGTATGAAGAAGTCAAATGATTATAATGATGATCAGAATTCGATATAATATTTTGATTTGGCTCATTTGACGCATTGGTGAATTTGATGATGTTACCAAATGTTGATCAATCATCAAAGAGATTTCCAGGCAAGAGATCAATTCGAAATCAATGAAAATCATATACAGTCGTGAAAGAATCACTTCTATTCAAATAGAATACGAAATCTGGATGTTTGATGATTTCCAACAGACTTGACTAATTTTTCGATTCTCGATAATTTTTAGTATTTTTACCCAATAAGTTTGATTTTTTGCAATTTCTTGTCGATTTTATGAGTTATTAACAATTTTTAGTAAATAATGTCTAGTTCATTCCAAGATAAAAAAATTGATTTCGATCAGTGGAAATCAAGAAATCATTTTGTTCCCTCTTGTCAATTATAGACAAACTGGTCCAAGTGAGTAATACCGTAGCCAACATTATGAGAATTGCTTATTGGAACTTACACTTCTGTCTTGAGACATTATATTCAGTGTATTGCCGAATACTCCGAAAAGAAGAAAAGCTATTCCAGAATAAATCACAATTTTTTTTGCGAAATATATACGAATAACGCCGTAGTTAGTTTACCAAACGAATTTTGACGACTGAAATGACAGTTTACACAATTTCTAGTTAATTCTATCTTAGGGCAGAAATTTATTCTTGCCCGGAAGCGAACACTTGGGGAAAAAATCATACCGCTTCAAAGATCAATCCTAAGAAGATCATAAAAGACTTTTCAACCCACAAAAGTTGATCATACGTAAATGAAGTGAGCGTTGCGGCAGTTATACAAAATCATGATATTAGAATATCTTTTATGTGTTAACACACATGCGAAAAGCTCCATGTTGTGGAATAATTTAGGAAAGACTATTCATCTTTATATAGAAGATCTCAGTAGGTTCTTTTATAAGAAAAACCGCTCTTGTCCTTCGATGTATTTTGAGCTCATTTACGTGAAGTGATGCATGATGAGATGAATTCTGTCTTTTAGTAGACATAAAAGTGTGAAAACTGGGATGTTAGGCAAATTTAGAAGAATCATGTCATCGATCTGGAGATCTTTGGACGAATCTTGTTTCTGGATCGTTCTCCAAATAATCGTTGTGTGACATTTCGTCGGAAACGACTCGACGAGAACAGGAATACATAGAAACTTGACTAAAAATAATTTTAAGAAAAATCCATCATATAGGAAAAGATGTCTGTAAACGTACCGCATAGTAAAATGTGATTTCAGTACTGATAATCATATAAGCAAAATATTCTTTCAGCATTCGATCAGGATCTTTGACAACAGAAGATGTTATCGCAGAATACAAATAGAGAATGCCCAATGGAGTAGAGTAAAAGAAGGCGAAAATTACTTGTGAAAAAGTCATTTTGATCAATTGTCGATCGGCATGTTGCTCCGCGAGTGCGATTGTTCGACGAATATTTTCATAAGTTAAATATCCAAAGAAACATATCAACGATATCGGTATTATACAGAGAATAGCCAGAAAAAATATCGAAATATAATTGGCAAGAATAGAATTCATACTTGCACATGTTTTCGTGGTTGGTGATATGCCATAAAATACAAAGAATGGAATGGCATGAAGAAACCAAACGATTACAGCGATGATAACAACTCGATAAGACACTTGGATTCGACTTAGACGTCGAATTGATGGATTTGATGATGTCACCAAATATTGATCAATGACACACAAAGTTGTCAGTGTTAGTGATATCGCAGCCGACATTATCAAGATTGATTGACGAAATTTACACCACAGTAGTGAAATATTAGCAAAGTCATATCCATAGATATGCCCAATGACACGTGGTGTGAGATTGACAAGTAAATATACGTTTTTAAAGATTGAATCAATGAGAAAATAAAATGAGGCAGGTGTTCGACGATATATCGAAACACTGGAAAAGATATAAATGTTGATTGTATTCCCAAGTACTCCGAAAAGGAGAAAACCTATTCCACTATAAACGATAGTTTGTTGAGAAATATACGCTAAAGACATAGCGAGTGATTTAGAAAAAACGATTAAGGGAGCTTCATGAATAAAAAATTGAAAAGCATTCTTGATTCTTTCACTTCAATTGTTAATTAAAACTGTCGGAAACAGTTTTTTTTTTTTCTAGAGAAAATAATAAAATGCGTCAAGAAAATGGTTATCATGTAAAAAATTCAATACTGTCTTTTTATTATGCCCTTCAGACCTTCTATCCAATGTCGAGCATTTATCTGCATGACTTAGCATAGAGAAAATGGAAAATAATTGATTCATGATACTGTGACAATAAATATTTATCTGAACAAGAATGAAACTATGCAGATGAGAAGAGTGTACAGACTAAGTTATTACAAAGTTCATTCTTTGAGTTCTAGTTCGAGTACACTATTTGTTAGAGCTTATTTGCCTCATTCCTGTTCAATAAGTGTCGATTGTTTTCTTTGGACATATGTTTATAAAAGATTTGTCACTATAAGTGTTGCTTGATTTCATCTTGTAATAAACATAAACTATGTTGTGACATATTTTCAATGAAACGTCGTTAGTGACTGTTATTTAAAGAGAGAGTCTTTGTATGAAAAGAAAAAGAAAAGATTAAAGAAATATGTCATTTGGTTTGAGTATTTGGAAGGATTACATTTGTCTGTCGTTTTCCAAATAATCGTTCTTTGACGTTTCGACGGAAACGACTCGATGAGAATAAAAAAATGTAGAAACTCAACTAAAAACAAACAAACAAAAGAAAATTCATGATAAACAAGAATATCTCATCGAACATACCGCGTAATAAAGTGTGATCTCTGTACTAATGATAACATAGGCAAAATACTCTTTCAGTAGTCGATCTTGATCTTTGATCATTCCAGAAGTAATTATATTGTATATATGATAAATGGCCAGTGGTGCAGAACAAAAGAAAGATAGAGTGATGTCTAAAAAGGTCATTGTCACCAATTGTCGGTCAGCTTGATGTTCAGCGAGTACCGTTGTTTGACGAATGTTTCGATAAGTTAAACTTCCAAATACACTCATAAATAATATCGGCATTGTGCAAATGATAACAAGAGAAAATATTGGAAAATAAGTAGTAAGAATAGGATTGAAAGAAGCACATATCTTTGTAATTGGCGATATGTCAAGATATATAAAGAACGGAATCGCATGAAGTGAGCAAACGATGATAATAATCACGAAACTTCGATGAGACATTTTGATTTGACTCTTTTGACGTAGGTACGCTTTCGATGACGTGACTAAATATTGATCAACTGCCGACATACACGTGTGAGCAACTACTACTGTTGATGACATGATTAGAATTGCTTGTCGAAATTTACACCACAATGATGAAATATTTGCAAATTCATATCCATAACTATAACCGATGATACGAGGTAAAAGATTGGTAAGTAAATAAATGTTCTTGAATATTGCTTCGATGAGAAAATAAAATGTTGCAGGTGTTCGACGATACACTGAAACGCTGGAAAAAATATAGATACTGATTGCATTACCAATCACTCCAAAGACGAGATAAATCATGGCACTGTAAATAATGATTTGTTGAGAAATGAAGACCAAAGACATTCTACTTGATTCAAACAGGAACGTTTTGAGAATGAATTTGTTCTTAGTACTTCTGACTGATAAATGAATGCGAAAGAAAATGAGAACCAGACAGAGTATGATGGAATTAGTTTTTGTTACCACTTCAATTATGAATAAATGATTTCATCACGGAAAATGTTTAATGTATGAAGAAAGATAAAACTCATAATTCTAATATCCCTTTTAACACTCAGATTCTTTATCTATGTTTGATGAAGCAACTTGAAAATTAAGTACATAATAATGAAATAACACTTCATTTCCGGCAATTTTATATTACAGAATGGAAAATCATTACTTGATTAAAATGTATTTATTAGACAAGAATAGATTTATGTTGAAGATCGAGTCGATATTTTCGATTGCGATGAAATTGCTACTTAGTTGTCAAGCATGTGAAAACTCATCACTCAGGATTATTCAAAGGGATTTTCCTGTACGTCAACATAGAGAAGACTGGAATAGAAGAAGATTTTAAATGTCAATTCGTCTTAGGTGAGCACTTTGAAGAACTGTGCTTATTCATTGTCTTACAAACAGTCGTTTTTTGATTAGAAATAAGCAAGTCCTTGTGAACATATCGCGTAATAAAAGGTGATTTCAGTACTGATAACGATAAAACCAGAATTCAAAGAAACGCATACTTTCAAAAATGACGATATATCCATATAAAGATAAAATGGAATGGCATGAAGAAACCAAACGATCACAGCAATGATATCACCAAATCTTGATCAATCTTAGACAAAGTGGCCAGGATAAACGACACCGTGTCCAATATCGTAAGATTAGCCTATCGGAATTTACACCGCACAGTAGTGAAACATTAACAAAGTCATACCCATAACGGTAGCTAATGAGACGGGGTAGAAAGTTGATTTGGTGAGAAAATATCGGTCAAAAGCATTACGTCTGACTCAGACGGAAAATTATTATAAGACTAAGCCAAAATATTCATACTGAAAATCTTGACCTCGATTCATTTGCGTTAACAGTTCCACATTGTACTCAACGGAGGTAAATGTAGAGTGCGTTGAAGTTTCTTAGGGTATTTTATTTATCTTTCTCTTAATCATATACTCACATCTCTGAGAAAGGACGAAAACTGTTATCATTACCTCTATGCTACTCACTTTCATTTTGTTTGGAGAAAAGAACAGAACAGAACAGACTTTTATTCTACTTTTCTGACATTATACAAAGTGACAAAATGAATATATTTCTATCAAAAATGTTTATCTTTGTGATTGGTTATGTGAATATTGTCAACAGTGCTTCGCTAATTTCATCTGATCCTCGTCACGGAACAGTTCGTAATTCTAACATTCCACTTGTCGATGATTGTGCATTACGAGCGTTTACTGTCGAGATGGCTGCTTACATTCAACCTAATGCATCTCGAAGCAACTGGACAGCACTCAGCGAAAGTGCCTTACAAATGAATGAGTGTCATGATCAATCATACCGAGTTCAAAAATCGTCGAATACTCGAAAGTCATTCGAAACGTTGCAGACAACGAAAAACAGTGATTGTTTTCGAACCATTTTTGTCCAAGACAGTATGGGTAATGATTTGTTCGATGGAACATTAGATAGACCATTGAAAACGATTCCGGTTGCTTTGTCTCTCACACGAAATCTACGTCTCGCTCACGGTAATGAGATTCAATTATGCATTGTCATACGTGGTGGTACCTATTATCTCGGAACAAATGCAACTACGAATAGCAGTCAGATTGGTGCTATTTCTTTGACAAGTAATGATAGCAATTTGATCATTGAAAACTATAAAGATGAACGGGTCATCCTGAGTGGTGGTATACTTTTGCAATTGCAATGGTCTGTTTATAAGAAGACATCGACTGGTGGTACGATTATGAAAGCTTTGCTACCACCAAATGTCAAACTGAGTGATTTCAATGAATTATACATTGATGGACGACGAGCCATTGTGGCAAAATATCCCAATGGTGATCCTGCAACTCAGGGTTTGTACGCCAAAGAGCCCGGATTCTCATTTGATGCTGAATTCTGGTGGCAGCCCGAACACAATCGTAGTCAAGAGATTCATATCGCAGAACCTTTTCGTAATGGCACTCACTTCAGTCATTATCAGATCGGACTGAATGGTGGTGCATCTGTTTTCAACCCACCAAGTAGTTTTTGGAGTACGGCCAGACCTTACGGTAATAACAATTATGTTGTGCCACGTGGTGTTATAGGCAAACTTCACTCATTACCACATATGAGTAACTGGACAAAACCGACTACGGGATTGGTTCATGTCTTTCATTCACTTTATTGGGGTAGTTGGGTATTCGAAATCGCATCAGTTCATCCGATGGAAAAGCGAATCATGTTCGGTCGAGGAGGATTTCAAGAAGCACGTGGTCATCGATTCGGTGGTCCTTTTTATGTCGCGAACATTTTCGAGGAATTGGATTCACCTAACGAATGGTTCTTAGATAAAGATTCTCGTACTCTCTACTTCATGCCCAATGGAACGATGCCCAATGTTTTCGTAGCTAGTCAAATTTCTTGTTTAATTTCATTACGTGGCAATAGCATTCAAGAACCTGTTAACAACATTTCAATTCGAGGTTTGATCTTCACTGAGACAAGTAATACTTATCTAAGAGACTACATAGTGCCCAGCGGTGGTGACTGGTCTGTTCACCGAGGTGGAACGATCTTTTTAACAAACACAACTAATGTCACTGTCAGTGAAAATCTATTCACCGAATTGGGAAGCAATGCAGTAGCGGTCATTGAATACAATAAAGACACATTAGTTACTTTGAACGAGTTCGTATGGCTAGCTGATTCAGCAGTTATTCTCGTGGGAACTACAAATGGAATTGACGGTTTCTCAGTTGCAACTCAGCCTACCAACATCATGATATTGTGAAATATCATGCACGAAACAGGAATATATATCAAACAATCGGCACCAGTGTTGATTGCTGTCAGTCGCAGTGTGTCAGTGATCGGTAACTTGATGTTTAATATACCAAGAGCTGCAATCAATGTCAATGATGGTTATTACGGTAATCATACAATCAGTTGGAATGTTCTGTTCAATACTGTACGAGAAACGAGTGATCATGGACCAATTAACACATGGGATCGACAACCATTTCTAAGCGATGGAAGACGATCTGGTGTTGCGTCATTGTGGCAACATCAAAGCTTTATACATCACAATCTTCTCTTCAATAATTATAATTCGATTTTCCCGATTGATCACGATGATGGAAGCTGTTTCTATGAAGACAGTTACAATTTTCAAATCTATGGTGGCAAAAAAAATTTCCTAGGCCATTCAAAGTTCGATCATCACGAAATCTATGTGTATCCAGATACTAAACGAATTCTTGGCACGGGAACATGTCTTTTCGATCAGGCTCCCAAACGAGGTTCCAGCGGTTGGAATGAAACTTGGATTCAAAATACCTGTGTCCTTTATTCAAGTCCAATACCCTACAATATTTGGAACTGTAACACTGCCGATCTCTTCGTACCTTATCTAGCTGACAATAAGATCTTTATTCCACGTGGTAAAGAAGTCGAATTCGTATGTGAAATTGATGGAATCAGCACAACTCTTGACTTGGAAGATTGGCAAGCTTTTGATCTCGATCTTGGCACTACCGTTCAAACCGCACCTAACATGAAAACCATCATTCAATGGGGACGAGACATGTTGAAAGGAACACCGTCATTAAGATGAGGTTTGAAGATAACATTTAACGTACTAAACATTTTATACGTTGATTATTTGGATTTCACATGAAAAATAAATTTATATTTTATTTAGATGAGTCATTTAATTCCGTAGCAATAGTTGTATCAGACTCATCAATGGCTATGATTTTCACGTCATTGCATGATACTATAATAATGGTAGATCTGGTTGAAAGTGGTGATGCTCATATACCTGACCGTTCCTCAATGGCATCAACATTCGCAATTCTTGCACAAAGACAGAATCGATTGGTATTGGTTAAAAGTGAATAGTTTATTTCTAGTGAACCTACTGTTAAAATAATATTGAATTCCAGGATTGAAATCAAAATGAAAAAAAAAGTGTTTCTTGAATACATTGAAAAAAAACTCTTTTCTAAGAATATCGAAAATAAAATTGTTGAAAATATGACATTACCTGTCACATCTTTCATTCAATCTTTTTTCGACATTTTTAGACTAAACTAAGAAAATGACAGCACAACAAAATCAAAAAGCATCAATGCAAACAACCAGTTGAAAAGAAAACATATTGTCTTTTGAATTCAAATGACAAAAGGAGAAAAGAAGATGAATAGATCAAACAGAGTGTTCTTTTCTATACTCGAAAACCTACGATGTGAAAGTGACTTTACCGTATTTCTCTCTATATAACTTAACAGCTTCTTCTCCTTGACGGCCTGCTGCTTTTCTCAACACTTCTTCAGTAACATAATTTGTCAAAGCATCAATTCCTGCACTAGAACGAATGTCGAGTGATTCACATCGACCTTTTGTTTCTTGGGCAATTTCTTCAAAATTACTCTTCGCATAGTTAGTCAAATAAAATGTATGGATTGGAATATCTTTGTCTTTCAATTTCTTTAATTCATCTTGATAAAAAGTCGGTTTAGAAAACTTCGTCTTTTTCCAATAATTTTCTCCAAAACACGATCTCTTCGAAGAAACATCTGCAAGTGAATTTGCTGGTGCATCTCCAATTAAAATCACTTGTGAAATCGATTCTTTCGTTTCACTCTCGTTAACTGCGTGCCATAATCCAATCTCAATCGCTTCCTCTCCCCATCCTCCTTCTGGTCCAATCGTATTCATAAACGCTCTTAGCCCACTACCTTTGGTTTCCCAAGGTGAGACTTCTAAAATCTTATCGGCTTGCGAATTGTAGTTTCTATAAACAACGAATTGCATCGAAAAGATATCACTCGGTAATTTTTTCTCCTTTAAAATATCTGAAGCGCGCTCGAACATGGTACAAACGGTGTCCTTTGTGGCAGTTAGAAGGCTTGACATCGACCCTGTTGCGTCCATTAACAAAACTGTTCGAGAAACTTGCGAGTAGATATTCGGTCCAAGATTTTGCTCAAGTAGAAATTTCTTAACAGTACTCATATTTCCTCCAATAATCGCATCAAGAAATTCTTTCGATTTGTTATGATCGGGTTCACATTGAGTGATTCCAAATTTTTTTCCCGCACAGATTGCTTCGTACAATTTAGTTCGTTCATTGTTTAAAGCTTGGTAAAGAGTTTGACCTTTAATCTCTTTCACTTCCTTCCCCCAATCGGATCCCAGAACCCATTCTAAATCATTTTCTAACAAAATCATTTGATATGAACCTCGATCACCCTGTCGCGCTCCTCGACCCATAATCTGATATTCTTCCGATAGTTCTTTAGAAAAAAATGTTTGTAGAACGTGAACTCCTCCATTCGCTAAAACTTGTTGATTTCGACAAATAAAATCTGTTCCTCGTCCAAATGTTCGTGTCAACAATGTCACTCTACCCTCAGTAGCTGCGCGCTTTACAAAAAGTTCTCTGTCTTTCGCTGAAACTCCCTCAGTTATGATCTGTACTGATTGTTTCATCCCTACAAAGAGATCACAATTATAAAATTCTGACAGACGTCCTTCGGATTCGAAAAAAACGAGAATCGCGCGCTGGGCATTGACCATTGTATCGATTTGTCCTCGAATTCGTGTAAAATATTCAGATTTCTCTACCGCTTCAACATCACTGATTGAATTATAATTTCGATTACTTTTACCAAAAACCGAAGGCATAAACGTATTTCTGAAGATTCCGTAAACTTCGGCAAGAATTTTCTTTTCAGCGTTAGCAAGTGTTCTTAAGGTTCCTGAAACTCCGGTGATATAACTGAAATCTTTGGGCATATATGCATACGAAAATGTTCCACAACTAAGAATAATTCCGACATTTATTTCTAAACTTTGTTCACTAATAAGACCATTTTTATTTTCATGAAAATATGCCCATATTGTATCATAACCACGAACAACATTTTCTACATACGATTCTCCTTCGATATAAACAATTCGATCGTTCTTAACTGCGTATGTCGATGATTGATATGACTGTAAAGCACAAGTCATACTTTTTATCGCTTCGTCAACAAGAAAAATCCAATTACTGAATCGCTGCGCACAATCTATGTAAGCTGATGTATTTTTTATACTCCGCAATGGCGGAAGATATCGTTTATTCCATAGAGTACTTAGCAGATTTTTAATTGTCGGATCGCGTATCAACACAGATGGTGTATACAATCCTCCGTAGAATTTCTCGCTAAGAAAAACATCAACTTCATCGATTAGCAAAACTTTCGGACGAGTTTTCACTGTTGTATTCGTTTGATCAAGACTATTTTTATTTTGTAAAATCATATCTCGTACTTTATCTCTCAGATTACATTGTTCATTCAAAAAGTTTTCACACAATCTATTAAATGTTCCATATTCAATTCTTTCATCTATGCCTAATGCTTGGAATAGTGATGCAAAGTCATTTTTATCTCTTTGACTTAGATATTCACTATAACATGAACATTTCACATCCATTCCGAGCAAAGCAAAAACACACGCAACAATCGCTAAGATTACTGATTTTCCTTCACCCGTTCCAACTTCAACTAGATTATCAACCAAGTCCTTGGAGATTCTTTTCCAACCTATTCGAAATCCAAACAATGTTGCATCTTTTTTAAAACCAATTCCAAAGATACGAAAGATCGAGATAATTTGTGCGACATGTGGCATTAGAAGATAAGCTCGTTCGGAATCGATTCCTCTCATATTATTATAATGTTGCGTATTTTTCAAAGTCCAAACAGCAAAAATGTGTGCTAAGATTTCAGGAATTTGATCACGAATTGAACCATTCCATTCAACTTTGTCAGATTTGAGAGATACTATAGGAATTAAAGTTTTGATTTCCGATATTAAACTATCCAATTTCGGTTCCTTTTCAGTTTTGGGATTAAATTTAGCTAAGTATTTCTTTATTAACTCATCATATGTACTTCGAAAAACGGCATAACGCTTTTCTAAAACCACTTTCGTATCTTTATCTACATCATCTCCGTGTAATTCTCTTAAAACGTACTCAAGATCGTCTTGTTTTTGCATTTTTTCTCTTCGTTTTCTCCAATCTTCACCACTCAAAACTGAATGTTCGGATATTAACCGTGAACCTATTTCGTCTCCCTCTAAAATCATCGTTAATTGACTGACCATTGCTGGTCCTTGACTTGCTCGAAAATTTTTCAAACATTCATCGATACTTTGGTTAATCTTCGTGTCAAACATTGAGAAATTCTCTGCGAAAAACTTCATTCTGATTAAACATTGAGCAACTTTGGCAAAATCTTCTTTAGCAGCAGGGATTTCTTTAGCTGATTGATCAACTTTGTCAAGTATCGATTTTTCAGCTGATTCTAAAGTTTGACGAATTTGAAGATCAGAGTATTGAAGATGCTTTTCAATCGAAAGAAGATGATTGTAATAAAGTCGAAATTGATCTGCATCGGCTGAAGTTGGACTCGTTTGATTCGAAGAAGAAACAAGTTTTTCTTTGATTTTTTCAATTTTCATCTTCAGATCTTTCTCAATTTGTTCAAAAACGAATATCGATGCGAATTTATTCGAAAACTCTTTCTCAATTAATTGAAACATTTGTAATGTTGCTGAAAGTTTACTGAAAAATTGTTCGCGATCTGCTTCAAATCGTTCGGTTCTATCACTAATCAAATCTTTTTGAAAAACTAACGCGGATAGACGGATCTCTTCTTGAAAACTGGTCATTAACTTATTATGTTCAGGTATTTGTTTCATTTGTATAAGAAACGATTTCATCATTGAATGTTCACATTTACAATAATGAAATTTTTCGAGAACTTGATTTATTGAAGAAGCCGTTTGCAATAACTCCTTAATGACGCTGATATTCATTGCTTTCAAAGCAGTGTTAAAATTGTTGATTAACACTTGCCAATCAGTTGATAATTTATTCAAACTGAGAGACGCGTTTGTGAATGTTTTTTCCGGAATGAAATCGTTGATTTGCGAACAATAAGAATGAACGAAATCCAAACATAAGATTAGATTTTGTAGACCTTTATCAACAATTTCAAGTTTATGAAGTGAAAACACGTCCGAAAGTGTTTTGGAATAAAGAAGTATTTTTCCACTAAACAAATCTGAAACTAACTTCAAATATCTTTCACTAGCTGGAATATTCGGTGCATAAAGATGAAATTTCAAAATGATTGGGATATTCTCGAGTCCTAATCGAATCTCTTCTTTTTCAAATGATTGTTGAACTAAATTCCAATAATGATCTAATTTATCTGAAACTCTTGAACGTAAAATTCTTAACAATTCTTCTTGTTTTGCCTGTTTACATTTCTCTGCCGATGTATTCAAATCTTTAATCATTTCATCAGTGATTGTCTCATATTTAAAAACTTTTTCTATTTCATTTTTATATGTTTGATTTTCTTCGGCAACTTTATCTTTTAGCTGAGTGACTTCATCCTTAAAAGATCTTTGCAAATCATCTGGAAGAAACTCTAGAGCTTCGAACAGTGGTTTAACCAAGTCCAAACGTTTTTCAATGGGTTCCTTATCCACATTATCAATCATTGATTGGAAATTTTGTTTAATTTGAGCGATAATTCGTCGTATAATCTTGTCATATTTTGTTTTAAGACGTTCAGGAGCCTTTTGTAATTTC